ATGCTCAGGCGCTCTATCTTGCTACAGGTGGAGGAGACAGAAGCAGTGCTGGCACAGGTGTTGCAGGCCTTCCTAACCACCATAGGCCTCCCTCTGTCAAACTCCCTCTCAAAATCCCCTGTCTGCAGCCCCCTGTCCGCTACACTGTTGTTCTAAAGCAGACAGAGGAGGAAATAAGGCAGGTGAACCACACCCCACTGCTCACCACAATCCAGACAGGACAGAGCTAACCACCAGGAAACGTCTGAGAAAGGGGAAGTCACTGAGCAGAAACTGACTTTATATGGGCAAAACCCACATGTGTGTGCAGTGTTTTTTCTCAGTGGAAGGTTGATCTATTTGGAAGAAGCATGTGTGTGACACTGATTAGACCAGAGCTGTTCCTCTAGGAGGGGGCCACAAGAAAAGGGGACCTGGTAAGACCCACACATGAGTAATCATAGGAGGAGGAGCTTGAGTGTATTTCTTTGCCTCTCTTTACCTTGAGCTTACGGATAACTGGATGGGAGGACTGGAGAGCCCCAAGTCCTGAGGAGTCACTCCCTTGAAGACCCTGCCATATGGGACCATCTCTCAGGAATCAGGGCTTGCAGCAGAGCCAGTCTCCAAGCAACCTAATGAGTGCAGCTGGCCTGTATCAGCTGCCTGATTGGTGGGAAGTGCCAGCAGACAGGCTCTTAAGCCCAGCAGCAGCAGTTCAGTAGCTTCTCAAAGCTTTTTCCCACAGCTATGATAACTCTGGCCTTGAACCAGCCCAGCTCCTGCCTGGCCTCTCTCCAGGTAACCTGGTTCTAATTCTCAGCTTCGATTTCTCATCTCCAACTTTGGCTCCGACCCCGATTCTGACCCGTGGTTCCTGCCCCTGGCTCTAACCCTTGGCGCTGGCATTTGGCCCCTGGCTCTGACCCACCGCTCTGGTCCTGCTCTGACCACTAGACCACCCATGTCCCGCTCTCTGACACCATCAAGCATGGATAGTCATTAGCTGCCTATTTTATCTTCTTCCTGTGTTAACCCTGTTACTACGGCACCACCTGGAACAGGACTGATGTTCTGTCTGCATCTCCAAGATGACAGCTGCAGACAAGAGCTACAATCACAGCTGAGACTTGGACAACACCATCTCACACATAAGGAGCCACACTGTGGCCTGGTCTACACTACGGGGGGGATCGATCTAAGATACGCAACTTCAGCTAGGGGAATAGCGTAGCTGAAGTTGACGTATCTTAGATCGACTTAGAATCACTTACTTCACGTCCTCGTGGCACAGGATCGATGACTGCCACTCCCCCGTCGACTTTGCTTCCGCCTCTCACCGAGATGGAGTTCAGCAGTCGACGGGAGAGCGATTGGGGATCGATTTATTGCGTCTACACTACATGCAATAAATTAATCCCTGATAGATCGATTGCTACCCACCGATCCAGCTGGTAGTGTAGACGTAACCCCTGTGATCTGGATAAAGATCTGTTCTTCTGGTTGTCTTTTGTTAAGAAGAGCTACTTCTCAGAAAGTGACTTAGGCATTACAGCTGCACCACCTTAGATGACTACTTACAGCAAGACTCATGAACAACCCCAGGACACTGACATCTCTGGCCATTGTGTTAGCAACCATCCACTCAGTATGGGCACCTCTTAAGTTTTACTGAATGCAGGATTAAAAAGGTTAGTTTTGACCAGTGATGAGTTTACCTTGATGGCCTGTTCTGCTTAGCAACCAGCGAGGCCTACTGAAAAAATATACTAGCTGAAACAGTCAGGCGCTTGGTTGCTTGACCTTGCTAGATAAGAGAATGCTTGCAGAGGCTGGGAAAAATGCTTGCAGATGCTTTTTGAAGTAACTTGTATTTCTTTGTCTAACCATGAAGCTTATCAAAACATAATAGTTGTTCTTTGTTCCTCTCTTGTATGCTGGGAAAATATAGTGATGATGTGACGTAAGTGATGACGTGGCGAAGTGGCTAATAAAGATAGCTTGCATCTGCAGAGGGGAGGGGGCTGGTTCTACGGAGATGAGTAGTAGTTCTCTATTGTATTGCATGCCTACAATAAAGACCTTGATAGTTGGATCTTTGCTGGTCATTGCCTGTCTCTTTGCGGTCGGACAACGAAACCTGAGCCGTCCGGGATAAAAGAAATCCCCGACACCAGCTACTTCACACCAGTTAATGTTAACGAGAGGTAAGGAACACTGGCCAGAATAGGGTAGAATAACAGATAAGTTAACGGATAAAGAATCTTTAGCTCAGTTAGATCCATGCAACTCAGCAGGGCCTGATGAAATTCATACCCTTTAAGGTCAGAAGGGACCATTATGATCATCTAGTCTGACCTCCCGCATGATGCAGGCCACAAAAGCTGACCCACCCACTCCTGGAATAATTCTCTCCCTTGACTCAGCTGTTGAAGTCCCCAAATCATAGAATCATAGAATATCAGGGTTGGAAGGGACCTCAAGAGGTCATCTAGTCCAACCCCCTGCTCAAAGCAGGACCAATTCCCAACTAAACCATCCCAGCCAGGGCTTTGTCAAGCCGGGCCTTAAAAACCTCCAAGGAAGGAGACTCCACCACCTCCCTAGGTAACGCATTCCAGTGCTTCACCACCCTCCTAGTGAAATAGTGTTTCCTAATATCCAACCTGGACCTCCCCCACTGCAACTTGAGACCATTGCTCCTTGTTCTGTCATCTGCCACCACTGAGAACAGCCGAGCTCCATCCTCTTTGGAACCCCCCTTCAGGTAGTTGAAGGCTGCTATCAAATCCCCCCTCATTCTTCTCTTCTGGAGACTAAACAATCCCAGTTCCCTCAGCCTCTCCTCATAAGTCATGTGCTCCAGACCCCTAATCATTTTTGTTGCCCTCCGCTGGACTCTTTCCAATTTTTCATGATTTAAAGACTTTAAGTCGCAGAGAATCCTCCAGCAAGCGACCCCTGCCCCATGCTGCGGAGGAAGGCGAAAAACCTCCAGGGCCTCTGCCAATCTACCCTGGAGGAAAATTCCTTCCCGACCCCAAATATGGCGATCAGCAGAACCCCGAGCATGCGGGTAAGATTCTCCAGCCAGACCCACATTGACCATTGATACTAATTATCAGCGATGGCAGTTATTGACTAAAATCGCGTTATCCCATCAAACCATCCCCTCCATAAACTTATCAAGCTTAATCTTAAAGCCAAAGAGGTCTTTCGCCCCCACCGTTTCCCTCGGAAGGCTATTCCAGAACTTCACCCCTCTGACGGTTAGAAACCGTTGTCTAATTACAAGCCTAAACTTCCCGACGGCCAGTTTATATCCATTTGTTCTCGTGTCCACATTAGTACTAAGCTGAAATAATTCCTCTCCCTCCCTTGTATTTATCCCTCTGATATATTTAAAGAGAGCAATCATATCCCCCCTCAGCCTCCTTTTGGTTAAGGTAAACAAACCGAGCTCCTCAAGTCTCCTTTCATATGACAGGTTTTCCATTCCTCTGATCATCCTAGTGGCCCTTCTCTGTACCCGTTCCAGTTTGAGTTCATCCTTTTTAAACATGGGAGACCAGAAATTCATTCTAGAGTACTTAAGAAACTGGCTGAAGCAATCTCTGAACCATTAGCGATTATCTTCCAGAACTCATGGAGGATGGGTGAGGTTCATAGCAAGGGCAAACTTCAAAAAAAGGTAAAAAGGAGCTCTTAGAAAAGTATAGACCAGTCAGCCTAACTTCAATACCCAGAAAGATATGGAAGAAATTATTAAACTACCAATTTATTAACCTAGAGGATAGTAGGTGATAAGTAATAACCAACATGCATTTGTCCAGAACAAGTCATGCCAAACAAACATAATTTCATTCTTTGGATACCCAGTCTAGTGGATGGAGGGAAGAGGTGGACATGATGTATCTTGAATTTAGTAAGTCTTTTGACACAGTCACACGTGACATTTTCCTACTCAAACTAAGGAAATATGGACTAGATGAAACTACCACAAGGAGGATGCAGATAGATGGAAGATCTTACTCACAGGGGAGGGATGGGGACTCACTGGCTCGGCAGCAGCACTGCAGAAAAGGGTGTGAGGTTTCTGGTGGACCACAAATGGAATGTGAGTCTGCAGTGTGATACTGTTGAAAAAAGGCAAATGTCATTCTGGGATGTATTGACAGGAGTGGGGTGGGTCAGAGATGGGAGGTGACTATTCTACTCTACTCAGCGCAGGAGTTCTGTATCCAGGTTTGGGTGCTGTGCTTCAAGAAGGATGAGGACAAATTGTACGGATTTCAGAGGAGAGCAACAGATCTAATCAGAGGTTTAGAAAACCTGTCCTGTGAGGAAAGGTTGAAAAAAATGGGTATGTTTTGTCCAGAGAAGAGATGGCTGAGGGGGGGACATGATAACAATCTGCAAATATGCAAAAGGTTGTTATAAAGAAGACTGTGATCAATTGGTGCCCATGTCCACCAAGGGTAGGACAAGAAGGAATTGGCTTAGTTAGCAGCAAGGGAGATTTAGGTTAGATATTTATAAAAACTTTCTAACTCTAAGGATGGTTCAGCACAGGAACAGGTGACCTAGGGAGTTTGTGGAATCCCTGTTACTGGTGGGTTTAAGAACAGGTTGGACAAACACCTGCCAGGGATGGTCTAGGTGCACTTAGTCCTGCCGCAGCGCTTGGGGATGGATTCTTTGATCTCCTGAGGTCCCTTCAACTCCACATTTCTGTGAAGTGGTGCTAGGCCCTCTGCACTGTGGTCAGTTTCCCCCATAGGGTATCAGGTACTCAGCAAAGTAAATGATTATGGGGCTGGTAGAAGTGGTAGGGCAGAAGGAAGGAGAGCAGGGCATGCTGAGAAGACAGTGCTTTCCTGTGTGCAGTACTGTGAGTTGATACGATATCATGCAACAGGACATGAGTCGACTTGGCTTCCTGTCTCATTTCTCCAAGATAAGGAGGCTGCAAAGCTCAGAATCCTCAGAACTAGACCCGCTCTGATAGCATCTGAGCCACCATGGGAACCCGAGGTGACATGTATCCATTGGGTGAGTGGAAAAAAGTCCATGGGATGAACTCGGGTGGGGCTAGGAGAATCCGGAGGGGCCCATGGGTCTGTCTGCACTGGGGCTGGAAAGTCAAGCTTGAGAAGATATAATTACGCTAGCTCGTAATCAGGGCAGGTAGCCTCTCCTGTTACTTGCCCAAACGTGGCCATGCTTCTATTTTTGGCATGCCAGCTGGGTCAGAGCAAGCCCGGGTATGTCTCCTCGAGCTAGAATTTACACCTAGGCATATGCTACATTGGTGTAATGTGCAATTTCCTCTGCTCCCTCCAGTGCTCACATTGCACCAACTGAGACTCCATCCAGACTCATTGAAATGCCCTTAGATTTACTGGGCCAGATTCCTGGGGCTGGCTGAGATGGGCATGGAGAGGTCAAAGATGGTGTCGGGGTGTGATGTTATGAGTGTAATATAATATATCTCATTGAAAGGTGACTGGGCCAGAAAGAGTTAACTAACTCAAAGACTGACCTGCCCCATGGCCCAACTTTAGAGACTGGTTAGGAAAATATTTAAATGAATAGAGCTTTGAAATGCAAGTCTGCATGGTTAGATGTAGAAGGGTAGATGTTTGCTCAGGTCTTGTGCTGTAAGCAAACAAGTCTTGTCTATTACTGTGGCTTTGATTCAAAGATCAAAAAATGAGTATTAATATTTAGGAAGACACTTGAGTGAAATAGTATTATTGTCTATATGTCTCTTTGAAAGTTGTGGTAACCTGTATCTGGACTGTTTAATGGATAAATTTTCCTGTGCTAATTGCCATGATGTTTGGGAGAAGGGAAGTTAAGCCTATTGTTTTCTCAGGCCAAAAGGTTGCTGGAAATGTATAAGAAGCCTGGGATACGGTCCTTCATCTGAGATCTGCTTTGGGTTTCAAGAGGGGGAAACCTTAAGCCATAAGGATTGAGATCCCCAGTCACTGACTGGAGTCACCCTGAATATGGACATTGGACTATAACCTATGGACTATACCTAAAAGGACTTTTAGCAACTATAAGCTCATCTCTGCTATATATCTGAACCTCAAGAATTGAATTAAAGTCTGTATGTATATTGATCTTTTAACCATACTCTTTTTTTCTTTTTTAATTTTAGCTTAGTTAATAAGAACTGGCTATAAATGTGTATTTTGGGTAAGATCTAAGTTATAATTGGACCTGGGTGTGTGGCTGACTCTTTGGGGTTGGAAGAACCTTTTGTTTTATATGATGAGATAAGATATCCAGTAATCATCATCATCTCTGACGTGTGTCTGGACGGAGGCCTGAGGCTGGGCACTTTAAGGGAACTGCGTTGTTTGGACTTCTGAGTAACCAGTGAGGCAATACAGAAGCTGTTTTGTGCTGGTTTGGTAAATCTAAGTATTGGAATATCCACCAGCTTCTGGGGTTTCTCTGCCCCATTTTCTTTGCAGTTCACCCTAATAGCGTGACCTCAGCTGGTTCCCACAGGCAGCATCGTCACACAGGGCTGAATCCCAACTCTGGCACTTCGAGAGCAGGAAGTGGGGGCCCGCAAGGAATTTAAAAATTAATACTCGCCACCAGGGCCATCCCTAGACATTTTGGTGCCCTACGCAGTGCCCTTGTGGGGGTGGGGGCTGGCCCCAGGCCTCCGTGGAGGAGAGGGGCTGGCTTGGGGTGCAGGAGGGAAACTGCCCCCCAGCACTCACCGGCAAAGCAGAGTGGGCGGGGGCCGGGTCACTCCACTTCCCGCTGCCTAGTGATTGCAGGGCAGGCCCAACCCTGCACTCAGGAGGCTGTGGGAAGTAGAATGACCAGGCCCCAGCCCGCTCCACTCAGCTCCTCTGGCTCCCAGCCTTGGGACTTGAGGGGTAGGGGGGAACCGCCCCCCAAACTCACTGGTGGCACGGCTGGAAGCCGGAGGAGCAGAGTGGGCCAGGTCCGGGTCGCTCCACTTCCTGCTACCCAGTGAATGCAGGGCACGCCCGAACCCTGCTGCACTCCCCCCGGATGTAGCACAGGGGAAGGGGTGGAATGGGGGTGGAGCGGGGTGGGAAGAGGCGGGGCAGGGGCAGAGCAGGCATGAGGGCTTTGGGGAAGGGGTGGAGTGGGGGCAGGGCTGGGGTGGAGCAGGGGTGGGAAGAGGTGTGACTGGGCGGAGAAGGCTGGCCGCTGAAGCAACACACAGCTGCATACAGCACCAAGAAATTTGGGGCAATTTGGTGCCCAAAATTTCCTGGTGCCCTACGCAGCTGCGTAGTTTGCGTATTCCTTTGAACCCAGGAAGGAGCACTTGGGAATACCTCCCTGTGGGGTATCCTCAAGCCCTTTCATCCCCCCCTCTGGGGAAGAGCCAAGAAAGAAATCAAAAGGAAATTAGCTGTGGCTACCAGCTTATCAAACAAGCACAAACCTCTTAGGACACCAGAAATCCAATCCTGTTCTTAAAAAAGGGAAAATTTATTAAAAACAAAAAGGAAAAAGTACATCTGGAATTTAGGCTTTTTGGCTAGATCTTAAAAGAAACAATTACAAAAATTAAGGACCCAAAATAGCTTTCTTGGGGGTTCAGCTTAAAGGATACAAGCAAACAAAAGCTTCTGGGGTTAGCACAGAGGCGATCCACAAGCCAAAATAAACAGAAATAAACCTGATTGCGTCTAGCTAAACATTCCTAATTTACTTACATATTTGGGAGGTTTCAAATTAGTAGTTCTAGGTATGATCTAATAAATTTTCATACTTGGTTCAAGCCTTACGCAGTATTGCTGCTCCATGTCTCCTTCTCCGGAGAACAACAGACAAAGGGGAAATTTCTTTCCCAATTTTTAACAGTTCTAGCCTTCCCATTGGCTCTCTTGGTCAGGTGCCCACTTTTTTTTTTTTTTTTTTAACCTGGGGGACTTTTTAATCCTTTACAGGTAAAGCAAGCAGAGAACAGCTACCAAGAGGGATTTTACAGCTAACTGGCTGGCTGGGTGTTCATCAAAGGGGGCTACTCCCCACTTCATTTATATCATGCCACCAATTCACAGATGGTGCTGGCCACTCTGGTTCAAGTCGGGTCCACACCGGCTGGGATTTCTTCCTGGAGGTTTAGAAAACCGTTAATAAAATACATGCACCTCTAAGTTTACTAATAATTACATGAAGAACTAAACAGTACTTTTTACATTTCAAGGACTACAATGACTTAGAATGCAGGGACATTTTAACCCAGTTGATTCTGAGAAACCTTCCCGGGAGAGTGCATCAGCCACTTTGTTAGAGGCTCCAGAAATGTGGTGTATCTCAAAATCAAAGTTTTGAAGAGCTAAACTCCACCAAAGAAGTTTTTTGTTAGTCTCTTTGACTGTGTGAAGCAACTTCAGTGCAGCGCGGTCAGTCTGCAGGTGGAAACACTGTCCCCAAATGTATGGTAGCTTCTCCAGAGCATACACTATGGCATAACATTCTTTTTCTGAGACTGACCAGTGGCTTTTCCGCTCAAAGTGTTTTGCTGAGAAACATGATAGGAGGGAATTAGTGATGCATTAAAACTGCTTCTACACCACCCTCGGACACATTTGTGGTTACGATGAATGGTTGGTTGAAGTCTGGGGTGTTCAGTACATGGTTAAGCTGGTTAAAGGCTTTCTGACACTTTTCAGTCCACTGAACTGCATTTGGCTGTCTTTTCCTGGTTAGGTCTGTCAGTGAGGTGACAATTTGGCTGTAGTGTGGTACAAATGGTGAGTAATACCTGACCAAGCCCAAGAAGGATTGGACCTGCTTCTTTCACTTAGGGACAGGCCAATTTTGGATAGCATTTACCTTAACCTGTAGGGGGTTGATAGTACCTTGACCCACCTGGTATCCAAGGTATGTTACCCGGTTTAGGTCTATTTGACACTTTTTGGCCTTAACGGTTAATCCTGCCTCCCTTATGCACTGGAAGACAGCTTGGAGGTGCTCCAGATGTTTTGCCAATGAATCCAAGAATACAGCCACATCATCAAAGTAGGCAACTGCAAATTAACCTTCTGGCTGGATTTGGGAATCTGCCAGTCTCTGGAAGGTGGCAGGTGAATTTCACAGTTCGAAAGGGAGCACATTAAATTCATACAACCCTACATGGGTGATGAAGGATGACCTTTCCTTGGCAGGGTCATCTAGCGGCACTTGCCAGTACCCCTTAGTTAAGTCTAAGGTGGAGATGAACTGGGCACGTCCCAGTTTCTCCAATAGCTCATTTGTGTGTGGCACTGGATGGTTTTCTGGGCAAATTACAGCATTTAGCTTATGTAGTCTACACAAAAGTGGATTTCCCCATCTGGTTTGGGAATCAGAACCACTGTAGAGGCCTATGCACTCTCAGAGGGGCGGATTACACCCATCTGTAATATGTCCTCGATTTCCGTTTTTGTTGTGGTTTTGGCTTGAGGAGCCATCCGGTTGGGTTGGGCTCTAATTGGGCGAGCATCACATGTATCAATGGAGTGGCATGCCTGTTCTGTATGTCCTGGGGTGGCTGAAAACATGGGTGTGAAGCTAGTGCACAGCTCCTCAATTTGCTGTCGCTGCTTACACCCAAGGATGATGGAAAGGCTCACCTCTTCTATGCCACCGTTGCTTTTTCCTTCATAGTATACTCCTTGAGGCCACTCAGTGTCATCTCTCTACTGGGCTGTAAACTGGAGAACCTTGATTTCTCAGGAATAAAAGCCCTTAGAAAATTAACATGGTATACTTCAGGTTTTAGGGTAGGGTCTGGGAATGCTATGAGGTAATTAACAGCTCCCAGGTGCTCTCAGACCATAAATGGCCCCTCCCACAACACTTCCATTTTATTGGCCTGGAGCACTTTCTGGACCATGACTTAGTCATCTACTCTGAAGGAACGCTCTCTGGCATGTTTATTATACCAGGCCTTTTGCTCTTGTTGATCATTCTGAAGGTTTTCTTGAGCAAGGGCTAGAGAGTCCTTGAGTGTGTTTTGCAGGTTGGTTACAAAGTCCAAAATGTTAGTTCCTGGAGAAGATGTAACCCCTCCCATTGCTGCTTTACCAACTGTAATGGCCCCGTAACTTCGTGGCCATAAATGAGTTCAAAGGGTGAAAACCCCAAACTGGGATGTGGTACAGCCCTGTAGGCAAAGAGCAACTGCTGTAACACTAGGTCCCAATCACAGGAGTGCTCATTTACGTATCATGGCCCCCAAAGTTCCATTAAACTTCTCCACTAGGCCATTTGTTTGATGGTTGTGAGGGGTGGCAACCAAATGGTTCACCCCATGGCTTCCCAAAGATGTTTCATGGTCCCTGCCAGGAAGTTAGTTCCTGAATCTGTAAGGATGTCGGAGGGCCAACCTACCCTGGCAAAAATGTCTGTCAATGTCTGGCTCACACTTTTAGCCCTTGTGTTGCTTAGAGCTACAGCTTCCAGCCATCGGGTGGCAAAATCCATGAAGGTCAGTATGTACAGCTTTGCTCTGGGTGTCGTCTTAGAGAAAGGACCCAGAATATCCACAGCTACATGCTGAAATGGAACTGCAATTATGGGGAGCAATTAACTCGGCCTGAGTTAAAGGCATCCCCCCATCCTGGCACTGGGATCTTGGTGGGGGGAGGGCTGACCCTTCCCTCCTGGAAAGTCTCCTTTCCCCATCAGCTACCTTCACTTCCATCATGGAGCTGGATGTTCGGGTTTGAGCTGGGTCTGCCTTCTCCGTGGTGTGTCACTTCAGGAAGACTGGTTTTTCTAAGGTTTTGGTGCCTCAACCTCATGCACCAGGCTGCCCTTCTCTAGCCTAACTATTTCATTGCCACGGAGATAGAAAATAAATAAATGGCTTGATGGACTCCCTGGCTTTCAAGCAGCCAAAAGGAAAAATGTGTCCTTTTAAAATCCTGAGGTCTGTGCTTCTGGTTCAAAACTATCCTACCGCTCTGCCACCATGTCAGGGCTGAATCCCCACTCTGGCATCTTTAGTACAGGAAGTGGGGGCCTGCAAGGGTTTTAAAAATTAATACTTGCCACTCCAGGCCTCCATTACACTCTCAAGGTTACAACTTTTCTCTGACCTTGGCTTTGTAAATGCTGCCACCACTCCAATGGAAAAAAAACCCTTTGAACCCAGGAAGGAGCACTTGGGAATTCCTCCCTGTGGGGTACCCTCAAGCCCTTTCAAACCCCCCGCCCAGGGGAAGAGCCGAGAAAGAAATCAAAAGGAAATTAGCTGTGGCTACCAGCTAATCAAACAACATGCACAAACCTCTTAGGATGCCAGAAATCCAATCCTGTTCTTAAAGGGAAATTTTATTAAAAACAAAAAGGAAAAAAAATACATCTGGAACTTAGGCTTTTTGGCTAGATCTTAAACGAAACAATTACATAAATTAAGTACCCAAAATAGCTTTCTTGGGGGTTCAGCTTAAAGGTTACAAGTAAACAAAAGCATCTGGGGTTAGCACAGAGGAGATCCACAAGCCAAAATAAACAGAACTAAACCTGACCGAATCTAGCTAAACATTCTTGATTTACTTACATATTTGGGGGAGGGGTTTCAAATAAGTAATTCTAGGTATGATCTGATGAATTTTCATACCTGGTTCAAGACTCACACAGCATTGCTCCTCAGTGTCTCCTTCTCCGGAGAACAATAGACAAAGGGAAAGTTTCTTTCCCAATTTTTAAAAAGTTCTAGCCTTCCCATTGGCTCTTTTGGTCAGGTGCCCACTTTTTAAAAAAAAAAAAAAAAAAATAAACCTGGGGGACTTTTTAACCCTTTACAGGTAAAGCAAGCAGAGAACAGCTACCAAGAGGGATTTTACAGCTAACTGGCTGGCTGGGTGTTCATCAAAGGGGGCTACCCTCCACTTCATTTATCACAGATGGCTTTCCACCAGTTTCACAGCTACTGAATGCCAGGGGATAACTGCGGATCAGTCTTGTCCCTGGAAGCAGAGCAAAGAAATGCCTTTCCCGATTCATCCTCAACTATCCGTAGCCCCAAGGGACCATTCCAGCAGCTGGCAATAGTCAGAGTGTAGGAGTACATTGGCCATACCCCTCACCTATGGGAATGCCCACTGTGCCTGGGGCTGTAACGTAGAGCCATTACACCAGGGGAATTTCCAAGTAGCTGGCTGAGCCAGCTTTCTGTAGGGGCACAAAGCTGGGGTTCCAAAATATTACTACAGTAATAATAGTTCTTAATGAAAGAATTGACTTCATTGGATTTACACCAGAATCCTGGTCTTTGTTGCTAATACACACAATAAAAGACCAAGTTGCCCTGGCTAAAAGTCCAGTTCCCAACTCGAATCCGTTAAAACTATTACCAGGGATCCGAGCTGGGGCTGATTTCCCAGAGCACCAGGTTTCTGCATTTTTAATTCCACCATCGGCAGGGCACTGACTGGCCATTGGCCCAGGATTGGCAGGACTGGGGTGGCTGGGGGGGTGTGCAGCTGAGTGGCGGTTACCATCTGCCCATGGTGCCTTACCCTGTCTTTGCCTTCCAGGGCTCTGCATCGCCCTGTGCCTGGGGGGCACCGTGGCCCAGAATCATGGCGTACAAGGTAAGGCTGATTCCTCCTGGCTAACCTTCCCCAGCGCTCCCGGCTGCCCGGGGTCTCCGGCCTCCGCCCCCTCCGGTCCCTTTCCCTTGTGGGAGAACAGCAGAGTCAGGGGTCTGGCGAGCCGGGAGCAGCCCCTTGGCGTGGGCGTCGTGGGGTGGGTTTATAGAGCACGGTGGGTGCGTGCAGGGGAGAGGAGAAGGCCCCTGTGTAGTCCCCCCCTTCCCTTCCCAGCCCCGTGGCCAGCAGAGAATAGACACTGGGGCCCAGGGCTCTACACTGGGGGCTGGAGTGAGGGGCAGATCCCCTTTGTAGCCAAGGGCCGTGTTATTGACCAGCCCGAATCAAACCCCTGATGGCTCAGACGTTAGAAGTGGCATTAGTAGGTTCCCCCCCCCCCCGCTAAAATCGGGCTGAACTGAAACCTGGGACCCACGTGTCCAGCTGGGGGGTGTTTGGGATCCGGACTCTGCGCCCCGAGCCCAGCTCTGCTGCGAATCCCAAGATTCCCAAGAATCCCAGCAACAGAAAGGAGAGAAATTGGGTGAGAGTGAAAATGTTTCACTTGAACCGACGCCCGGCTCCGGCGGCTCTGCCTGTCTGTGCCGGGGACACCCTGGGGAGCCAAGGCCTCCTGTGGGCAGCTTGTTGCCGGGCGGTGGATGACGTTAGAGCTGTTTGCCAGGCGCCCAGGGACAAAAATCAGCGAATGGGGCGTGTGAAAGGAGTCGATCCCAGTGTGTGTGAGGGGGGAGCCGCTCTGCACTGGCTGACCCTGCCCAGCTGTTCCCACCCCTGCAGGTACCATTGAGGACTGCAACAGCCATATGCAATGCCCAGCAAACGCCAAGTGTGTGAACAACACCCACTGCACCTGCCTGGATGGATACCAGTCACATGGGAATCACTCCTTCTTCACTGACACAACGGAGATCTGTGACGGTAATGGGGCTCCCATGTTATCCTGGGGACAGAGCAGGGCATTAAGGGCCGGAGCAGCCAACTCCACTGACTCCAGGGCCTGTTGGGGGGGCTCAGCCCGGCTGGGGAATGACAGGGGGCAGCAGCACGGGTGAGCGCCGCCCTCCTGGGGATCGAACCGGGGCCTCCAGAGTGAGCAGCAGGAGC